TTGTGAAAAGAATTATTAGACTGAAAGTCACAAAAAGAAGTAAAATTAAAAAAAAAGTAAAACACGAATAAATATATTTCACTTTCAGCTATTTTACTTATTATGCCTAAAGTATCATATCGAAAATAGCAAATTAAAAATGTAACTAATATATTAGATATACTTTTAAAGAAACATTCGACTAATACAAATAAAATCATATCAGAAATTTTTAATAAAAATATTAACAAATTATTTGAGTTGTTGTAGATTATAGAGTTGGATCAGTATCTTACTCTATATGAAAAAACTATTAAATCTAATGATTTTTTTGAAATTCTTTTGCTTAATTACAATAACTATGATTTTAAGCAAAATACAAGAGTTAGTAAAGAAACATTCTGGTATGTGAAAAGTCTTATTCAAAATAATTCTATTTTTTCAAATAAATTTCAATATCCACAAAGACCAGTTTGGCAATAATTAGTAGTTACTTTAAAATGACTTGGTTGTAATGGAAATAGTGTTTTAGTTAGATGATTTGCTAGACAGTGGAGTCTAGGAATTAGCACTGTAGTTGAATACACTAAGCATGTAATAACTGCTATTAATTTAATTAGAAATAAATATGTACAATAGTCAGATTCTGTTAAAAGACAACAAATTAGTAATCAGATGAAACAGTTATTAGGATTTAAAGAATGTATTAGATTTTTAGATAGAACTGATATTGTACTTGAATATAAACTATTAGTAGATAGTAAAACATATTATAATAGAAAAAAGTGATATGCTTTAACTGTACAATTAGTTTGTGATAATTAAAAATATATTCAATTTGCAAACTTTGAGTTGCCAGGATCAGTTACTGATTCAAGAGCTTATAAATCTACTCTACTTTTTTGTAAAGCTTAAAAATTTTTTAATAAAAATGAATATTTATTAGCTAACTGTGGTTATTCACTTACTTCAATAATAATAATTCTATATAAATAACTATAATCAAATGTTAGAATAAAGCAAGTTAAAAGAATATAGAAAAAAAGATTTAGATGTTTGAATAGAATAAAAACTCAAAATTTATCTAAAAAAAATTTAAAATTTGTTTTAGATATTATTAAAGCAATAATTATTCATTATAATTTAGCTTTAAAAAATAATAATATTTGGAGAGAAAATTTAAATAAAATTGATTTAAATTTAATAAATGCAAATAGTTTTATAGATAATAAAAGAAAAGAAAAAATAAAAAAAATTTAAAAATATATTCAAAATCTTGTACTTCAAAAAAATAATTATTTTAATTAAATATAAATATAAAAAAATTTAATTTAATAAATTTATTTATTATATTTATTATTTTATTATTTTACAAATTATTA